ACGGTTTTGAGTGTGTTCAGTTCCAGATTGTTCTGGTCGCACCATGAGGCTAGTTGTTCAACCCTCTGTCTGTATGCGGATTCATCATTGTCTCGAATGAGACCAATCACTGTAGTGTCATCTGTGAACGTCAGTAGTTTAACAGATTGATTGTTTGAGATGTAGTCATTGGTATATAGAGAGAAGAGAAGTGGAGAGAGCACACAGCCTTGTGGGGCCCCTGTGCTAATTGTACAGGTATCTGATGTGATTCTGCTTAGCTTCACCTGCTGCTTCCTGTCTGTTAAGAAGCTTATGATCCACTTACAAGTGTGTTCAGTACCACTAGCTGGTTTAGCCTAGTTAGAATAATGTCTGGAATGATGGTGTTGAATGCTGAACTAAAGTCTACAAAGAGGACCCTTACATAGGTCTTTGGAGATTCAAGATGTTGTAGGATGTAGTGCATGTCTCATGGAAACATGGCAGAATGGAGAGATCATCAAGGCACGCTCCCACTGTGGTTAGGAAGGATATATTATTTATTATATCCTTATTATTGTTTCTCTTCAGCATTGAGCAGAAAAGATGATGTGAGAGGGGATCAGATGGAAATTTTGTCCCTGGTCCTCTCAGACTAAACAGGTGTCTCCAACCTTGGCAATTTTAAGCCTGGTGGACTTCAACTCCCAGAATTCCCCAGCCAGCAAAGCTCCAGGCTTAAAGTTGCCAAGGTTGAAAACCCCTGGAGTAAAGGTTCTGATTCAACCAGCATATTCAAATACTTTGATGGGGCTAACTTAATGCTTAGCAGGAGACCTTGTCTAAGGTCCACTTAGTTTCCTCAAGGCAGACATAAGTTTGTAGCTTCCAGCACAATCCTATATATTATATAGAAGGAATTACTTCTCTCTTCAAAGGTCCTTGCAAGCCTGCATGCATTGCATTTGCAATCTAGTTAGCTCTTCTTACAACAGCAAGTTTTCAAACCATTTTCAGTAGACTAGAAATTCAGTTACAGCAAGATAGAAGGTGTCTATGATAATTGTTTTGTGTAAGGAAGGAGGTGAAAGATATTTAAAGACTTTTTTTCTCACCATCCGTTTGCATCTGCAATTGCAATAGATACTGACTACTTTAATTTCAGTTGCATTGGCTGAGGGCTTGAAGGAAAAAAAAATGACCCATGACCTTATTACAGGGAGATCTGGTGAGAAAGGATATGGTAATTGCACTGCAATAAAGTACATCTAAGTTCTGCTTAAATGGCAGAATTTGCATTTAAATGGAACCTACAAAATGAAAACATGTATACATTTGATGGGTGTAATTTTTGATTTACAAGTTGAGCAGAAAAGGTGAAGCTGCTCCCAGTCTGGAATGACTCATGAAAAATCCATTTTGAACCATAAAACACTCACCCATTACGAAAAAAATAACCTTTTCTAGGGTTCTAAATAAATACAAATTACTTCAGTTGGTTTATATTGTAATGGGGAGGGGGCACTACCATAATTAGATTAGGTTTCCATTTTAAAAACATTGTGCAGTTAAATTTTTAAGTTAAAATCTGTTCTGTACCTACCAGCTTCTGCAAAGAAATCAAATGATGGTAATACAGAAATGGTCTATTAGTAGTTTTAAATCAGGCCAACAAATCTAGACAAACCTTGGTAGCAATAGATACGTATTATTCAGTGGTGGGATTCAATTTTTTTAAACAACTGGTTCTGTGGGCGTGGCTTAGATAGGGGTGTGGCTTAGTGGTCATGTGACCGGATAGGCATGGCTACCTGGTCATGTGACCGGGTTGGCGTGGCTATGTGCATAGGGACTACTCAGAGGGCTGAAAAAAGTCATTTCTGACTGGTCCTCGCACTTTTGACCGGTCTTTGCACTTATGATCATCCTCACATTTATGCCCGTTGCGGCGTTCTTAACAACTGTGTCAGTCATTTCACCACTACTTCTCTTCACCACGGTGACAAGATAGGGCACAAAACGTAAAATGTGAGGACAGTCGTAAGTTCAAGGACTGGTCAAAAGTGCGAGGACCGGTCAAAAATAACTTTTTCAGCCCTCTGAGTAGTCCATATGCACATAGGGACTACCCAGAGGGCTGAAAAAAGTGGTTTCTGACAGGTCCTTGCACTTTTGACCGGTCATCATTTATGCCCATTGCAGCATTCTTAATTAAATTAATTAAATAAAAATGACCTGCTGGAGTGGTCGGAGGCAGTCTGAGGCGGGCATTCGGGCCGGCTGTAGGGCAAGGTGATACAACCGGGGTAGGTAGGCCACTGCTGCCCAGGTGGGAGGCGGGCGCAGGCCTACAGGACTGGCTGCAGGGTGAAGCGGTCAGATGGGGTAGGTCAGGGGTCTGCAACTTTAAACACTCAACCTTAAACACATGTAAACACTTAAACACAACCTTAAACCTGGGTGGGCATTGCCAACTTCATATCACTTACTCCCAACCCAGGTTTTGTGGCTCCCAGTATTTTCTTTTAAACAGGTATCTCTGTGTGTCTCTTTCATCTCTCCCATCTCTTTCTTTCTCCCCACTTTCCCTCCTTCATCTCTTTTCCTCTCCATCTCTCTTTCTCCCCCCTTTCTCTCCTTCATCTGTCTTCCTCTCCATCTCTCTTTCTCCCCCCCATTTCTCTCCATCTCTCTTCCTCTCCATCTCTTTCTCTTCTCCTGCTCAGGTGGCGGCGGCAGCGCACCTACCACACCATCGGGTTGCCCCCTAGCTATCTATCTAGACCCGTACCAGTCGGGCTTCAGGCAGGGGTACAGCACAGAAACGGCATTGGTCGTGTTGGTGGATGATCTCTGGAGGGCTCGGGATAGGGGTTGCTCCTCTTTCCTAGTCCTATTAGATCTCTCAGTGGCTTTTGATACCATTGACCATGGTATCATGCTGCAGCGGTTGAGGGGGTTAGGAATAGGGGGCACCGTTCTGCGGAGGTTCTTCTCCTTCCTCTCCGACCGCTCGCAGTTTGTGTTGGCAGGGGGGCAGAGGTCGACTTCGAGGCGTCTCGCATGGGGCTGCCGCAAGGGTCGGTCCTCTTGCCCCTCCTGTTCAACATTTATGTGAAGCCGCTGGGTGAGATCATCCGTGATTTTGGGGTGAAGTGTCATCTGTACGCTGATGATACTCAGCTGTACATCTCCACCCCAGACCACCCCAACAATGCCCTTGATGTGATGTCTCACTGCCTGGAGGCCATGCGGGTCTGGATGGGGAGGAACAGGCTCAGACTCAACCCCTCCAGGACCAAGTGGCTGTGGCTTCCGGTGCCCCGATACAATCAGCAGGTGCCATCGCTGACTATTGGGGGTGAATCTTTGCCCCCCACAGAGAGGGCTCGCAATCTGGATGTCCTCCTGGATGCATGGCTGTCTTTAGAAGAGCATATGACGGCTGTGGCCAGGGGGGCCTTTTATCAGGTTCGCCTGATTCGCCAGTTGCAGCCCTTTCTGGACCGGGACGCCCTGCGCACGGTCACTCATGCCCTTGTTACCTCCCAGTTGGACTATTGTAATGCTCTCTACATGGGGCTCCCCTTGAAGAGCACTCGGAGGCTCCAACTGGTCCAGAATGCGGCTGCGCGGGTGGTTATGGGCGCAACTCGTTGTGCCCACGTGACACCCCTCCTGCGCGAGCTGCACTGGCTCCCAGTGGTCTTCCGGGTGCGATTCAAGGTGTTGGTTACCACCTTTAAAGCGCTCCATGGCATAGGACCCGGGTACCTTCGAGACCGTCTTCTGCCACCAATAGCCTCCCACCGGCCAGTCCGCTCCCACAGAGAGGGTCTCCTCAGGGTGCCATCGGCCAAGTTATGTCGGCTGGCGACACCCAGGGGGAGGGCCTTCTCTGTGGGAGCCCCAGCCCTGTGGAATGAACTGCCCCCGGAAATACGTAAGATCTCTGACCTCCAGGTGTTTCGCTGCGTACTGAAGACCCTGTTGTTCCGCCAAGCTGGCCTATCAACATAATAATTTTAAATTGGGGTATTTTAAATTTCTGGGGTTTTAAATTGAGCCAAATCTATTTAATCATTTTAATTTTTAACTGCTGTTTTGTCTTGTGTTTTTAAATAGGCTGTACACTGCCCTGAGTCCTTCGGGAGAAGGGCGGTATAGAAATAAAATAATAATAATAATAATAATAATAATAATAATAATAATAATAATAATAATAATAATAATAATAATAATAATATTGGAGGCTGCACCTTAAGCCTGCGCCCCACTGCGCCCCACTGCGCGTGCGTCTGCCCGGCTGCTCCTGCAGCCGGCTCTTGTTGCTCTTACTGAGCTTCGCGGCGCCCCTCCTCTTGGAGGCCATTACGATGTGGAGCTTCGGCTGCAGTCTGGGCAGCCAGTGTTCCAGGGCAGAGAAAAGTTGTGTGTCTCCCCCGGCGACTGGATGGGCTAGCCCAGGGGTGGGCAATTGTGGCTCTTTTACAACCTGTGGACTTCAACTCCCAGAATTCCTGATACAGCTTGGCTGTCTCAAATTCTGGGAGTTGAAGTCCACAGGCTATAAAAGAGCCACAATTGCCCACCCCTGGGCTAGGGTAGGCTGGTGCTGCGCAGGTGGGAGGAGAGGCAGGGCGAGGGGCGGGTGAGCCAGCAATTTAACAAACAGTTCAATGTGCTGCGAGGCCAATAAATTACAAAAAAAACCACCGAACTGTTTGTTAAATTACTGGCTCGCCCGCCCCTCGCCCCGCCCCATCCCCACTATTTATTGGCAAGGGGCGGGGCGAGCCAGCAATTTAACAAACAGTTCAGCCGAACCGCCTAGAACTGGCAGAATCCCACCACTGATATTATTTGTAGCTCAAATCTGTGGGCCCTGTTATTCTAACCAAACATTTCAAAATATGGCAAACAATGCTTTAAATTTTTTTTGAAAATCTTCTTTGTTTGAAAATGGTGCATATTCCAGTTAGCCCTATTAGCCTGAGGTCTGTGTTTTCTGATACAACTTACTTTATTTTGGTATTTAGGAAAATTGGGACGCAGGGACACATGCATTATACACCTCCCACCTTTTTTCCCTTTGCCAATCTACTAAAAAGGACACCTGCGTCAATGAATGAAGTGCCCAGGTATGTTTTATTATTGTGTTTGCATTTAGATAACAAACGTAGCTGAATACTCTTGAGAGCCACTATCTTGTAAGGAGAAATTTCTCCCTCTAATTTCCCCAAGGTTTAAATGGAGACGGTGCATTAAAAAATAATATAAAATTAGTGTCTATCACAGTAATCTCTGTTTCACAGGGAAAATAATTAGGGTGGTTAAAACTGCATAGGGAAAGCATGAACTCAAGGGAACAGGTAACACCTGTTTATTTACCTTATTGGCCTTGCCTAGCTCAAAAAACTTTGTTGATTTAAGCATTCTCTCTCCCTCTCTCCCTCCCTCCCTCCCTCCCTCCCTCTCTCTCTCTCTCTCTCCCCCCCTCCCTCCCTCTCTCCCTCTCTCACACATACAAGGGAAGGAATTCTTTAGTATTAAAATGTATTTTGGTGTCTAGTTGCTTGAAATATCTTTGTAAAGAGTAGATGAAGGGAGGGAAGATGGGGAAATGTTGGTTTAAGACATTATAAATCCATTCTTGGCTCAAATTATTGTTATGATAATATCACTCTTTCTTGCCCCATTCCAACACATAAGCAGGGGTAATCAGCTGTTGAGAGCAGCAGACAGAATTTTAGGAGGAGGTCTGGTACTGCTTGCTTCATGAAATGATTTCCCAGCCTCTCATTCTTAGCAATTGTATAACAATGTTTTGTGAGTGCTAGCTTAATTATTTTATGTGTGTTTCTTTGTGTAGAAAGTTCACTGAGCTGATAATCATCTCTATCAAACTGAGGCAGAGTTATCATTAATCCTTCCTACCTCGTCCCTTCCATTTATACAATCCTCATTGCCCTCTGGGATGTATCCATTGATGAGAAATTGCTGAAGGAACAGGAGAAGGAAAAAGAAGCTGATGAAACATGGTGATAGTTCAGAGAGCTCAGTGGAAACTGCTTCCCCTGTCCCCTAATTCTGCAGTCCTAGAAACTAACCATGACACAGGAACACAATCTTTCTGTCTATGCAAGCATCTCTGATACTATGTCCAGAACCAAGAGGAAGAGAAGAGTTACTCTAGATGTTACAAGCTGAAGCTAGTACCATCATTGCCAGAGATGAAGCCACAAACCTTATAAACTTCTGAATGTCCTCAAAATGTTGTGATCCTGCAGATAACAAAGGATAGATACCATATGCTGCTAAATAATGGGTGCATGACTTTTCCAGATCCGTTTTGGAAATCAGGAATAAGATGGGATAAGCTAGTCCCAGACAACTTAGAGTAAAATAGCTGTCACAGGAAACCAGATGATAACAATATCAAAAAGGTTTCTAATGTGGTGATGGTGTACCCTGAGGAAACAGTATTTGTGTTGTTTTTCATTGTCTTTGGGTCAACGAACAATTCCAGTACTCTTACAGATCCATTATCACTGGAAAGTAGATTAGATATCAAAGAAATTATAGAGATCCTCTTATCTTTTTTCCATTTCTTTCCTTTCCCTTTGGACATAAAAATATATGCTTCAACTAAATTGACCAATATAATCTGGAACTAAACAATCACACAAGATCATTCTTCATCTTTGCTCTTCTCTATTCCTAGCAGCTTAGATAACTACACAACTACAACAGAATTGCTTAATGGACATGGTTCATTTTATTATTGAACCTGAGTTCTGCTGCTTGTGGGAAGCTTAATTCAAGGATTTTCTTTCTTTTTAATCACTATAAACTAAAACATCTTGACTAAAATTATTTCCAGGTAAAGAAATCTATACCTTGCATGCTTATATCATCTGAAATTGAAAATTTTATTCTAATCTATTATATCATCTAAGAGTGTCTTTGCATATAAATTACTTATTTTGGAAAAACACAAGCATAGAAAAAGGATTATTATAATAATTTGACGAATAAAAGATTTCCGTGAATTCATCAACAGCAGGAATTTAGTGCTTGGAATAGATGTGGGGCAAGAGTGTCGGATATTGGAGGTTAAAAGTATTCAGGTAACTTACAAATTGTTATATATGTGAGAAAGTTAATTTGCAAAAGGGCATTGCTATCAACACAGAAAGATAACAAACAACCAGAAAGTTAGTTGAAATCTAGATAGGAAATTCATTCCTGCCCTAGTAACTTTTTAAAAGTCATTATCCTGAAGTAAAAGGAAAAACTGCTACTGACACAAGTGGCCCCTCAGGTTTTGAGTTGCTTTATTGCCAAACCTAAATCTCTACAAGCAACAATTTTATTGATGGGGACTGAGCACTCATTCCTCACCTTATTAAATTATCAACCTGGATATGAATCTTGCTTTCATGTCATCTCTGCTTCTGCAAAGAGACATTCATGATCCCAGATAATCAAGAGATAGATGCTGAGATGGTGAGGAAATCACCTGGTCATATCCACTCTTATGTTTGAGAGAAGATCAATATGCACATTCCTTGTCATATAGTGTAAGGCCAGTCTTCAATTAGTGCACCCCAAGACTATGAACAAAGGGGAGAACTAAAATTAAGGGAAAAGTTCTCTAAAAAGTGACCAATAGAAAATTCTTATTCAAATTCATCTCCGTCTTTTAAACCTTTAGAGCTAAGATGGCTGTCCAGTTTCAACTGACAGTTTAATTGCTTTTTGAGAAAACTATACAGTATTAATAACACAAGCAGAATAGCCTCTTAGAGACAAATGCTGGTCCTGATCTTAGATGGTAATAGCAGATTCTTTCTTTCATCGCTTCCCCATCAAGCTTTTCCTCACGGAGCTGCTAATATATATTGCTGCATCCTATCAATTACTATTGGAATACCAATAGGGAATCTTGAAGGACTTTTGAGTTTGACCCTTTGGATGCTAATTTAGCAAGCAACATGATTATAATGGCCCTCTTAAAATCTCTGTCTCATTTTGCCTGGTCTCGAATTGGAGATTTTTCTGGAAAAAACAGTAGCTAACATTTTTGTTGCTTTCTGCCAGGTGAACCAAAAACCCCTTCTGGGTTGAATTTCATGCCTATGCTGAAAATAATTAATTATTGGCTTACTATCAAATTGCTATAAGTACGTTTACGCCATTATAATGCTAAGGCTTTTTAGTTTGATTTTTGTTTTGCTTTGCCCAGAGACAGAAGAAGCAAAAGAAGGATGTTCTGGAAGAACCAAGATCACAGATTTTTATAATCTCAACAATCTTCAAAACAGCAATGTTTAAAAAACAGATTTTAATTTTTATATCTGAAAAGGCTTTATATCTTTATAGATAAATTAAGATGTATTGGCAGAATGTTGCATTTTTGATAGCCTGCCACAATAGAGTCATTTCTAGAAATGTACTGTTCAACTTAATCCACAATCTATTTCAGGATTACATTTGGATAGAAAGAAATCTGAAGAATCCAGAATTTCCCTGAGAAGGTCCAAATTTGAAATAACTATTTCCTCTCTAGAACATGTATTAGTCTTTCATGGATTTCTGATTCTGCTTTGTGTTCTTTTCTGTGTAGCTTTATATATCTGCCTAGACATCAGAATAAAATATATTGAGAAGCAGTTTCCCCCCCTGGATTTGAGTAAAGGTAAATATTGAAACGCACAAAGGCAATCTTGAAAAAAGTTTCTTTGCAGAATGCTAATAGGCAAAATGAAGACTTTTCTTACCTTTTGGTGGTGCTGCTGTTTTGCTTAAGAGTGTTAAAACTTGTAAAGATCTCCTGTTGGCTTTTTTCTGTTGGTTGATTCCCAGAATTCCTTCCTGTTTCAAGGTTGAGTGTAATGTTTTTTTAACAAAGATTTGTTGAAGGAAACAGAAGAAAGTGACAATATTACCAGAACTCAACTAATGTTAAATTACATCTCTGTCACCACTCAAATAGACAAGTTATAAAAGGAAATAATCATATCAAAAGTCATCATACTAATGAAGTGTGAAATCCAGGCAAATATTTGAAGTGATAATGAAAATCAGGCATAGGACATGATCCTGTTATCTGCAGAGTTTATTACACTATTGTTGTTGTTTTAACATCCCAAATTTGGAAATGTAAATATAATAAGTATAAGGTCTGCTTGAGCAGGGAATTTGATTAGAAGACCTCCAAGATCCCTTCCAATCCTGTTATTATATTATTATTATTATTATTATTATTATTATTATTATTATTATTATTACCCTTTCTTATCAAACAATCAAGCAGCTCTGGAGACCAGCTGCCATAAAGAAACAATATGGGGCCACATGACTGGATTGACCCTTTGAGACTGATCAAGGCTGGACAGAGAAACAGCAAACACAGACACATTGTGCAGATGATTATTATGGGAAGAAGAGAATGACCATGACTTCTGGAATTTAACTCTTCAATTCCCATAGATCCCAAACACTCCTTGTTTGCACTTCCATTATGAGCTGTTTCATGCTAAAATGGGACCTCTGCAAATGATGAAAGCTGCTGTAAAGTGTGGATGAAGGATGTGTGGGAAAATTTACAAGAAGCCAAAGAAAAAAGCAAGAGTAATGTTATGAAGTCAGAAGCAAAAAATTGATTAAATCAATGAGGAGAGATGAAAAACTGAATTGGCAAGGGAGAAGTATGTTAGGCCTCCAAACATATGGTTTAACTAAAGACTTTGCTAAAAATGGCAAAAGATCCATGATATAAAGAGCAGCTGGATGAATCTCAACACTGACCAATGTCAGGAAAGACTTTTGAGGCTGGAGGGGAACCATAAAACTCTGACATTTAAGAAATCCATCATACACTGACAGAAGACTCTTTGTATGAGTGATTATGTGAGAGCACAGATAGGAAGCATTAGTAATAAATAACAATCTCATTAATACAATTGAAGTAAATTAAAGGGATGTTCTCATGCTTGGTTTGTTTAATATTCCACTTTGGGAACAATACAGGCTTTAAAAAAAGTTTAAAAAATTAAAATTCATACCCACTTGATGGGATTATCTATTATTTATTAGTACAAGTGGTGATTGTTATAAACTAATACTCAGTTTCAGCCATGACCAATTTTTTAGAACAGGAGCTGGAAACATCTTGAATAACACAGTTATATATGCTACATAGCAACACATTTAATCTTTTTCAAAAATAATCTTCATGGGTTAAAAATTAGGTCCCTAAAAAGGTAACTGGGAAAACCATTCCCTAAATATCCCAATTAGTTGCTCAAAATGTCAGCAGTTTTGGAGTGACACAATATTTATAAATTATTTAATTTGACATACCTTCCATCCTTTGTGATTACTTTTCTTAATTTGGACCCTCAGATTAAAAGATCTCATTGGACTTTTATGAGAAATTCCACAGATGTACTGCTTTTTAGTGTGTGTGTGTGTGTATGTGTGTTTGTCAATGGGTGACTTTTTAAAATAACTGCTACTCTGAGTTGCTATGGTAATAAGTAATGATTTCAAGAAACATTCAGAATCAAATGACCAAGGTTTAAAATATCTGACTTTATACTTTGGTTAAAATATAAATTTTTCTTGTTTGTAAATTTTATAACAGTGAAATAAAAGGTAACTTAAGAAGCCTTTTCACATTTCAGGATATCAATCACTTTGGGAACAGTTCTGGGAATGAAGTTTTGATCTGATTGAAAAACCATCCATTGCTACTTGAACCTAAGGGGAGCAATGATGACAGCTGATACTTTTAATCTTCTAAAGCAGTGGTTCTCAACCTTCCTAATGCCGCGACCCTTTAATACAGTTCCTCATGTTGTGGTGACCCCCAACCAGGGGTGGGTTCTAATTTTTTTACTACCGGTTCTGTGGGCGTGGCTTATTTTGTAGGCGTGGCTTGGAGGTCATGTGACTGGGTGGGTGTGGCTAGCTGGTCATGTGACCGGGTGGCCATGGCTATGTGTATAGGGACTACTCAGAGGACTGAAAAAAGTCATTTCTGACAGGTCCTCGCACTTTTGACTGGTCCTCACACTTATGACCATCCTCACATTTATGCCTGTGCAGCATTCTTAACAACCATGTCACTCATTTCACAACTGCTTCTCTTCAACATGGTATAAGATAGGGCAAAAATCGTAAAATGTGAGGACAGTCGTAAGTTCGAGGACTGGTCAAAAGTGCGAGGACCAGTCAAAAATAACTTTTTCAGCCCTCTGAGTAGTCCCTGTGCACAAAAGGACTACCCAGAGGGCTGAAAAATGTGATTTCTGACAGGTCCTCGCACTTTTGACCGGTCTTTGCAGTTATGACTGGTCATCATTTATGCCCATTGTACCATTCTTAACAACCATGTCACTCATTTCACAACTGCTTCTCTTCACCATGGTGACAAGATAGGGCAAAAACGTAAATTGTGAGGACAGTCGTAAGTTCGAGGACTGGTCAAAAGTGCGAGGACCAGTCAGAAATAACTTTTTCAGCCCTCTGAGTAGTCCATATGCATAAAAGGATACAGCAATAGAGAGGGATGAAGGAAGGGAAGGGAAATTAGAGTAGGAGTGAGGGTAAGAGAGGGAGGAAGAGAGGAGGAGAAGGAGAAAGAAAGAGGAAGTAGGGAGAAGAAGAAGAGATGGGGGAAGAGAAAGTAAGAAGGAAAGAAAAGACAGAGGTGGTAGGTTTGAGGAGAAAGATTGCTGTACAATAAAAAAGATGAAAGGGAAGAAAGCCGACCCCAAACAAATATAAAGATATTAAGATAAAGAATGAATTGTTAAACTTTAAAGAATAAAAGAGAACAAATAGGAATAAATAGCAATAATTAGAAATACACATACAAACATACAACGTATTTTCTTGAACAGAGTATTTGGCCAGTTCACAAATTTAAACAGTTGTAGGAGGTTAGCACCCACCCCTTTCCTAGAAGAATGAAATATTTTGGGAAATATTAAAAAGGCAGAATATTATATTTCCCTGGATGACAAATGGAGAAGCATATTTTACAGACAAAGCAGCTACCACCTTCCTGCCCCCCACCCTTTGTTAATGGGCCAGAGGCAGAAAGTCAATCCTTTGTCAAAGGACATTTGCAACACAATAGCAACAGAAACTAACACAATGGGCCCCATCTAGCAACCGAAACTCACCACACGTGACCTGGGAAGCACATGTGACCATCAGCCAGCAAGGCTAGCTAAGACCCACACCCCCGGGGAGTCTGACAACCAATCAGGATACTCTTTCGGGGCCCCAAGAAATGCAAAGGCAGAGAGAGCATAAAAACCCGAGGATTTACTTTATCTGCCCCTTTTCTGTTCAGGAACTCAAGCCATGTGATCCTGTCCACCATTAAACCATCTTTCCAAGCAGTCTCCATGTTTCCAGTGTCTTTTTCCCCACTTGGAGCAGAACCCAGAAGGATATTTCTTCCAACACTGTGTTTAGTCATTTCAATTAAATTTACAATTTTTATATTTCCTTTTTGCCATATTTATTCCTCATCTATTTTTTAAAAAAAACCAATATTACCCTTCATCCTCATCTCTAATCTTAATCAAATTCAATTTTTCCCTTCTATTCTATATTATACCCCTTCCCATTGTCATCTATTTTTATATCCATCCTCACATTGGTTAATTATGTAATTATGTAATACAGTTGTTTAATACAAATTCAACATTTTAATATAAATCAATTAGTTATATAACTATCTTTTTTGTATATTAATCAATATGAACATGAATATTCCAATTATTTCCATGCAATCCAATTTCTTACAAATCAATTAATTATATTTACCAATAATAATAAACCAAATAATTTCCCCCATATATTCCTCCAAACCACAACTTAACCATTTTTGCTTTCAACACAATATACAATTAATAGTATCTCAATTATTACAATTCCCTAGTTAAATAGACTTTTTTTCTTTTGTGTTTTAAAATCTTGAACCTCCTCTTTTGCCCTAAATTTCCCATTGTTTGCAGTTTTGGTGAGGAAAAAGAAAAAGAAATCTCTCTGCCTTATTTTGTCACATTGCAGCAAAGACCCTTCTTTACTTTCAATTTCGCTTTTTCAGCATAGCTAGGGGAAAAAAATTTGCTCCAGAAATTTACCTCTTTGCAGCTAGCTCTTTGAAGCCCCGTGGCAAGAATTTAAAGTTTTTTTCCCTCTAGCCATCAGCTGGGACTCCGGAGGCAGCAATAGATTGGGAGTGGGCGGGGTAAGCGACCGGCGACCGGGCGATCCAACAGAGGCAGAGAGTGAAGGTGAATGAAGGCATGGGGGGGGGGCAAGAGAGGGCTTTGGCAACCCCTGTAAAATGGTCGTTCGACCCCCAAAGGGGTTGCGACCCCCAGGTTGAGAACCGCTGTTCTAAAGTAAGTGTTGAACAGAAATGAATAACTGGAGACACTAGAGAACAGAAAAGTGGGTCATGTGTCTCACAATTATAAGTAAGCAATGTCTGTTTTATGAGAAAGTTCAGGGTTTTGGGGGACAATGAGTTAACTGCACAAGATATTTCAAGCAATGTTTTATATTTTGGCAGCATGTTTCATGTTTGAAAGGAGCTTCATCTCCTGTCAACTAAAGTCAGGGGGAAAAATCAAATTTCATTTATTTTGCTGAACATCAAATACTTTTTCTTGGCTTTTTTTTGATTCCCTTCTCATTTTTTTTTTTTGTGATACATTTTACATATAATTGTAATGGTATGTGGGAATGGCCTTGGGATACAGGAGGAACCCACAGCCTAGGCAATAGTCTGATAATAGGAAGCTCAATCTCCAGGAGGAGAAAAAGCATTGGAAACATTTTGGAAATTTCCCTAATTTTCCAGAGATTTAAAGGGTGGGGAGGTTAGAAATATTTTCGATCTTTCAAGATTCTGTTAATGTAATTTTATAATAAAAAAAGGATTAGTTCATCTTAAGGTGCTTCTTGTTTGCACTACCCTGCAAGGCAGAATTCAATCTTGCAAGACAAAGTATTTCTCCCCATCTCTCTTTTTAGTTTCCAGAAAGCTTGGGATGGCCCCTACTGAAATGCCTCCCCTGCTTTTTTCTAGCTGTAGACTGAGCTGCCTCTGATCAGATTGGGCTGCAAGTCTTCCTTCTGTCTCCCAAGATCATTTCTACACAAACGCTGCAATCATACACTTGAATGAAAATGTTTTCATTGACCATTAGGTCTGGCTTTGAATTATTCTGTATTATTTTGTCCTATAGAATTAGATTTGCCTATGTAACAGAACTATTAAAAATGAAGGCTTCCTAATATAAGAGAAAGATAAGATAAAATTGCATTTTTGAAAGGACTCATACTTTTATTGTTTGAGAGAATAAGCTAATATGTGAAGGCATAAATGTCTTCTCTGTGGAGAAAAAACTCCAAATTTGGCAGCCAATGTGCTGAGTCTGAAAATTGGGGTTGATTGAAAAAAAAGGAACCACCATTTGTGTGATGTATAATCTCTATGCACATATTACAAAACTCGATTTTAACAGAATCTAGAAAATTTCAAAAGGATGAGTGCAATGATTTCAATGTCTATATCTGTTTCTTTTTATGGACCTATGCCTGCACTTTTTCTTTCTTTCTTTTTTCTTTTTTAAAAAATAGGTACCATATTATGATTATTGCAGGCAAACGATTCCTTCAAAGCACTGATTACTTCCATAGAGTAGAAACCAGAGATGATTGTGGTTTGACTTTTCCTCCTCTCAGAAAAGAAATGCTTTCTGGAGGAAGAACATCTCAAGGTAGCATGTTTACTTCATATAACTATCTGCCTTTGCTGCAGTGCTCAGAAGCATCAAATCATCCTCCATAGTTTTTGACAGTCCCAATTTAGTATAGGTTGCTTTGTGTTAATCCTGCTTTGCCTTGAGAAGCCCCAGAATCACTCTGAAGAAATTCAGGGATTTTGTTAGGAGATGGCAACAGTTTCCATGTACAATTCCAATCAAAAGATTACACATTTAATCAAAATGAGCACTATGAAACAAAAGATAATGCTACATTTTTTACACACACTGTATGTGTGTGTGTGTGTGGGGGGGAATCCAGCTAATTTAGTGCAACACACTTTCTGGTAAGCTTACAGCTTTTGCTACAGTGCACATCACTGTCAGAGAAAATGCAAACCTGAAACCCTTTTTCTAAGCTATTTTTATGATATTTCAAGATGATTTGACCTTACCCTGTGCTCATTTTTCTCTCAGGCTCCAACTATCTTTATCCCTGGTATTGGACTGTGTTCCTATGGAGCAATTCTCCATTATAAGAGAAGTTCACAAATTTGGGCTTAAATTATAGGGATTAATAAATTTGTCATTAAATGACTGAGCAGACTACAAAATAGTGTCTGAACATTTTGTCTGAAATCTCTAAATTCAGAAGAAGAGGAGACTTTAGTGCTTGTCCACAGACTAGCCAACTGGCATGCCCAGAATTTGCACAAAATCCAGACAACCAAGCCAAGGAAGTTTAATTAAGCTATGATGAAACGGAACACAGGTTTCTTTAAACTTTAGCCATTAATCTTAGGGAGAGTTCTGTTGAAAAAAACCCTGTAGTGTTCTGGGATTGAAATATCCCCAGAAAAGTTAGAACGAGCACTGAAAAAACTGATACTAAGAAAGGTCCATTTGCAGTTTTATCATTTCACATATAAAGTCTTTCTCTTCAGTAAGAAACACAGGGAGAACTGATGATATAATGCCACTGCCTGATATTATTGCCAGGAGTGTGAAAATAGATGGACATCTAGGATAATTGAGGCCTCCTTCTGAAAAACGCTGCCAGAAAAACTGCAGGGGGCAGTAACAGGAGTCAAAACTGACTGGAAGGTACAAAATTGAATTTGAATGTGTGGTACGAGAAGATAAGAAATCAAAAACGCAAAGAGACAAAGGCAATAATACACATTGGATAACAGAGATTTTTCTTTTTTTAGGCAGTGTGTTTCTCACTTGGACAATTTCTGGGTATGTGGACTAACTCCCCAAATTCTCTAGCATGCAAATTGAAGTCCATTCATCTAAAATAGATGATGTAATTGCTTCTCTTAAAATGAGAATTTTATATCCCACTGAGCAATTAACATTTAGATTCTGTTTGAGGAGGAATTTTAGAATAATAATTGTAGTAGAAAAATCACAGGCTAATTTTAACTGATGATTATTATTAACTGATTATAGAAAACATTCCAAGTATTTGGTACACTTTTATAGTATTCCCATGTTTTATAACAATACAAAAAGATTATACATCACTATATTTTATTTATTTATTTATTTATTTATTTATTTATTTATTTATTTATTTATTTATTAAGCTTATATGCCGCCCTCTCTCTGAAAAGGACTCAGGGTGGCTCACAGCAGTAAAATAGACAAATCAATATGAAATGTTAAAAATCATTAAAACTCCCCTTAAAAACCTCTTCAGTCCAAACCGGCCTGGTGAAATAACCATGTCTTAAAGTCACGGCGGAAAGAGCGCAGGTCAGGGGCCACCCGGAGCTCCAGGGGGAGTTGATTCCATAAGATAGGTGCACCTACAGAGAAGGCTCGTTCCCTAGGAGTCGCCAGACAACACTGCTTGGCCGACGGCACTCCAAGGAGGCCCTCTCTGTGGGAACGCACCGGGCGATGGGGAGCTGTCGCTGGCCGCAGATAGTGCATCAGGTACCCTGGGCCTAAGCCATGTAGGGCTTTATAGGTGATAACCAGCACCTTGAATCTCACCTGGAGGGCAACCGGTAGCCAATGCAGGTCGCGCAGGAGGGGTGTAACATGAGAGTGTCGGGACACTCCCATCACTACCCGCGCGGCCGCATTCTGCACCAGCTGAAGCCTCCGAGTGGTCTTCACGGGCAGCCCCATGTAGAGAGCATTGCAGTAGTTGAGCTGGGAGGTCATGAGCGTATGTGTGACTGTACATCCTTCTGCTCTCTGTCAATGAAAGAGATTGTTACTTCCAATGAAAATATAATAAGGTTCATGAAGTCAGCTCAGGCAAATTAATGTATAAAGAAACTATTCCTAGAAAGCTAGGATTTGAACATTATCATGTTACTTTATGCACTTGCTTGGTCTCCTCAGAATAAATGATATCATTAGGCTTTTGGGTAGATTTTTTTTTATGTAGGTAATTCTTGCCACATGGAATATTAGTTCTGTTCATAAGAAGAAAAATACTTTGAAAAAAAAAAACACCCTGAAACGATAATTTGGGCAAGTCATGAAAATAATCCATAACACTAACTCTGCTAAAATAAACTATAAATTGTAACCCTTCTAGACTATATTAAGGGGGTTGTGAAAAATGTGTGTGTGTTTGTGTGTGTGTGTGTGTGTGTGTGTACACTATACTTTGGTGACAATTAATTAATAGATGAATGCCCCATGTTTCTGTTGAGCTCAATATTCAAGGCGGTTTATAATGGCAGAATACAAATTATAAAGCCAATAAATCAATATTTTTGGTCAAAAGGTTTGTAGATATTTGGAAAATTACTAATGAATCTTCCACAATGAACCCTGATATTGGTCAAGTGAACTCATGTTTTACCTAAGTCAAGTGAACTGATGTAACATAACAAATGTATTCAGTTTCTGTTGTTAGCAGTCAAAACTATTTTTAAAAAGTCAGAAAACTAAACTCTTTCAATGGATCTGTGATCTTTAAAAGTATGGGAAGGAACTCTAGCAATTTGTAAAAATTAACTAAGCAACAAAGAGCTTTGAAATTTCAAAAAGAGGGGCAACTCACTAAATTTATAGCAGACATTTGCAAAGCTGATTTTTTTTTTTTTTTTGACAACAGAGATAACTCACAATTACTCGCTGCTGGTTCATTATTACTGGAACTGAGTCCCAGATAGGCACAGTCTGCAAGAAGGAAATGCTCTGTATTTAGTGCTGACAAGACATGCAAAGTGGTGTGGTTTATTATGAAGGAAGAAATGAGGGACACCTGCACTGCTTAAGCCCCATTTCCAGCTTCGTTCTTTCCATCAAGAAAGCCACTTTGAAAGAACAAATTATGACAGTAGGAGAAGAGACAAGACAGGGAAAGAGAGGTGATTCTTGGCATAATTTATTACATCGAATGCCTCTTTGTCAGTGTGACGAAGTAAATATAACAGTTGCCAGGCAACTTAAACAGGTTTGGCATGCTGCAGAGCATGTAGCAATGTGTCCTTCAAAATGAAGGACACTAATCCTCCAAGCCTGGAAAACATTTTCAAGTGGCAGAAAGGGGTGGCCCAAAGTGGCCCAGAGAGGGAGCTGTATCATTAGAGTTTCACACTCCAACAGCAGTGATTTCTAGCCTGAATGGAGCTGAACCAATCAGCCCTCACATGCACTGCAACCCTAGCATCTCTCAAAAGCCTGCACCAGCAACAATATTGTATAATGATTGAGGAAATGTTAGTCTTGTGAGGTAGTCCAGCTAAGAAGCACACCCAGAAGTACTAGTTCTAACCTTACGGCAGGGGTGAAATGCTCCTGGTTCAGACTGGATCACCTGATCCGGTAGCGACAGCAGCTGGTTTGGAGAACCAGTAGTAAAAATCCCTGCCTCCCCCCCCCGCCCAACTGAGCCACGCGATCATCAGAGGCCGAAGAGATTGTAGAAAAAATGCTTTTAAAAGTAAAAAAAAAAAGTTGGCCATGCCCACCCAGTCACATTACCACCCCTCCACCAAGTCATGCCCACAGAACCAGTAGTAACAAATTTTACATTTCACCACTGCCTTACAGTAAGGTTACATTAACCAAATTTTGCAAGTCTGAACTTAAAACTCTCCCACCTCACCTTTACAGTCCAAGAAACTAGAGAGGGTTTGCCATGCCCTCGTTCTTTCTTCAGGCTCAGCTGCCTCTTTTCTGATGATTGGCTAATCTGCAGTACTTCTGCCTGACAACTGCTTTAATAATTAGCAAAAAATCAGGTTTGTGGTTGAGAGTCTATCCTTTGTAATAGGTGGCCCACAGTAAACGTCACCTTGCGTGTATTGCTCCCATTTGCAATATTGGGATCCTATGCTAAAGGATAATTATTAAGGTGGGTTTGCAAGGGTAGAAAAGCATGAAGGGTTTAGTACATTTAGCATATGATGTTGGCAAAATTAGACTTGGATTTTCTTTTTATTTTCTTCTCTCTTTGCTCTGGCTTCACATTTTTTATTCTTTCTGCATTTAGCATAATGATGCTTACCCTGAAACGGAATAAAGTGTTGGTTATGCATGCATATGGGTAGGTAGTCATCAGAACTGGAAAAGAAAGAATGTGTTTAGGTTTCATACTCAATATTAGTATTGTATATTACTAGAATTGACTGACTTAGATAAAAAAAAGCAGCCTATTCACTTTCTGAGGTTGTGAGAACATGAGGTTCTTTCCTCTTACTGAATTACAGGAAGCAGGCTTTGAGCCAGAGGCTCTATCAATCCTTGGGTACTCTCAGAACCCAAGAAAAGATTTTGAAACCCATTCTTCAGTCCTTTTTCCAAGCATCCAAAACATACAATGCTCAAACCCAGTGCACCAAAATCACTCCAGGAAGAGAATGATTGACTTTGGTGGCCCTGGTTTCAATAGATTGACACAAGGCCTTCTGAATTAGGAATAACAGAAACACCCACAGTTCTGCCATAGCCAAATTGTTGTACAGACTGGAAGTGTGATGAAAAGAAGCACTTTTGTTCTGGTATAATACTGTCCAACTTCAATCTGGAGGGAAGCTCAATAGGTGATTATTAACAATGCAGCCTATCTCGCGTGATTATTGTAGTGTTGAGGACATTAAGGCAGTCATTTTGGAGCTACCTTGAGGTCCTGGAAGAAAGGTGGGAGGTACATTTCATAATTATTAATTATTAATTATAATAATTATAATATATATAAATGTGGGAGAATGTTAGCAAGAAAATGGACTATTACAATATTTCTTAATACTATGAAGATTATTTTATGAGCTGATCCTATTCTTTTGCAGAACTGGTGTGGGCACAATTCCATCCAACTGGGTCAACAGGATGAAGATGGCCAAGTCTGGCAGCCAATTATTTCTGTAGAATGGGACATTTTTAAACCCGTATTTGTAGCTATGATTGACCGTATAATGCCAAGGAAATTAGGTAATACAAAAAAAAAAAAAATGGAAGAGACAGCAGAGGAGGAGCTAAGGAAAAGTAAGACCTGCACAACAACTTGAAGGACATGGTTTGTAGCTTGATGAATTGTAGTCGAGAAATTTGCTGGTGAAAGACAGAGAAAAAATGACCCTAAGCAGGTACAACATTTCTAGTAAAAGCCCGCTCAGTTTCACCAGGTTTGGAATAAATGAATTTCTAGAATGGCAAAAGAAATCCTGGATCTTGTGAATTTTGACCCCCCTCCTGCAGTTTCACTCTCAGATCTGTTGAGCAGATTCCCCTGAGCAAATGTTAACATGTTATCTGTCTATTATCCTTACTCTTCAGGACCTTTTATCAAGATTACCCACCGACTGCCATAACATCCATCATATTACATTCAAACTGTTTAATTGGGAGAGGGAGAATTTAATTGAAGCTCAAGAGCCCTTCTCAATTCTGGTGCTGAGTTAACAACTCCCTTAAAGACAGATTTTTTTTGATCCAATCTGCCAAATATCCATCAAATCTCCGAAGTATTTTCATAGTGGAATTTTTAGATAATCCAGTTGTGACCTATTCTGGAAATGTTCTTCCTGAAAGTGGCCTCCCATGTTCACATCAGAGATCACGGACCCAATTAAAACCTGGAAGAATTCCAGGAGGCGATTCTTTCTCCTCCGGAATTATTAAGGGAGAACAAAAAGGTGGGGGGAGGGGAGGAACAGTGCTGGCTATCTATTCACCCATATTAACAGCTCAGCATGTTTTCCTACTGGCTGGAGCCATGCCATTGTTGTCCCTCTCTTCAAAAACAAAAGGGGATAAATTAGACTGTGCCAATTATACACCCATCAGCCTGCTAAATGCAATCAGCAAGCTGTATGCTGTTTTCTCTTCAAAACCATTGCACTGCGTTAATATTGAAAACATCCTCACAGAGGAGCAGGCAGTTTTCAGAGGGGACCAATCAAATCTTGACCACTGTTTGGTTCTCCGTCATTTAGCAGGGAACCCCCCCTTTTGCAACCTTGTTTTAATTCCAAAGGAGAGGCTGTAGGAAATACTAAAAGGGATTCTCAATTGATAAAAAGCTGTTTCTTGCCATTCAGCCTCTCTATTTCAACACTATTCCGAGTATCAAATGTTCTCCTGGGACCACCTCTCTAGAACTGTCACTACCCATAGCGAGTGAGACAGAGATATATTCTTGCCCCTCTACTTTGTAATTTGCAAATAAACCCAATAATCCAAGCTATCATTCCTCTGAATTAACAGGTTCCAGCTCGTTTCAATGCAGATGTGATCACATCTGTCTCCCAGATGAGAATAAGGACACTGAGAAGCCTCTTTCCACTCAGAGAAAAAAAATAAAATAACAAATTATCAGTCCTAGTATTTGCATGAAATTATCATTGCATTCATAATTGGCAAATTGAGGGAATGCTATAAGGTATGTACTTATAATGCCTTGGAATGCTGTTTCTGGTCTCACTATCCTAGAAATGCCATTTTTTAAATATCTGACCAGTATTATTCAGCAAAGCTTTCTCAATTCTGAAGGAGCCCATTTCATCATTGCAGCTCACAAGGTCTTTTTGCCAAGGCAATCTTCCAGTTCCTCTATGATGTCCAAATCTGTACTATTAGAAACATTCTTAAAGCTGTTCAATCTAAGTTTAATCAAGCTGTTCTTTTGATCCCAAGAGGCCTTAAAACACTGTACTTCATTTAGTGATAGCCAAACCAGACTCTATGGATGCCAGAGCCTGATATCATTGTTATAACTTTTGGCTTAAGTTATCTTTTTCCCAAATGGATCTCATCCTACTAGTTCTCAGTGAATCGTAGCCAATCAATGTAATCAAGACAAGAACCACAACAAGGGGTTTTTATCTTTAGTGTAAAGTCATATTAAGAGAATAGTTCAAGGCTGAAAGTGTTGCTCCCCTCCTTTCCTTTTATTCTCTTGGAAAACTGAGTGGGTGGGGGAGTCCTCCTGAAGAGTTTCCCATGTTGCCACCATCGTCATATTTTGCATATTGGTTGTCTGGTCTGTGGCTCTCCCTCCTATCTCTCAGGATCATTTCCATCTGCCATTACAAAGACCACCTTAAGTCAACCTGGTTGATGTAAATTGCCATTCTCTAAGGCTCTGGTTGGAAAGTTTGGGTTTTGATAATGCATATAGTGCATCTGGGACATTAATTTTCAAATCAGCTTAAATCTTGAAGGACCTGCGGTTTTTTCCAAACATGTATGTGCCAGCCATCTATCATACTCCTGAAGTTTCCCCAATCCTTCACTTTGGCCAGGTTGGATGCTATCAACCATCCTGTTGGGGTGCTACAAAAATATTCTGCCTCATTAATGTATATGTCCTCATGGGGACAGCTCAGTTGAATCTTTGAGCCATATGCTCTTTCAACTTTTATTTATCCTGTCTTGAAGAAATTTCCTGATAGAGAATGTGACTTCCATTTGTCTTCTCCTGTTGGATCAGAAAGAAGATAGTTTTCTAATTTCATGCAACACCAATTGCAGGTAGGTTGATAATCCTACCAAACGGAATAAAAGAACACAAAAACAACCCCCCCTCTTCCATTATGACCTATATCTGACTTTTCCTGCAAGTGGCACTGCTTGGAAGGAGAATCACCAACCCCTGAGCAAAGAGGTCCTGCATGAAGACAATGTACAGACATAGCTCACCATCCCTAGGGCACGTTAAATATCCACTATGAGGACACCTCTATTTCTGCTAGAATGTGGGGTATCTTTCTGAGTCTTTTTATGTGGATGGCATCTAGTCTTGTCTGGACATTCTATCCAAGGGGCTCAAAGTACAGGAATGTTCAGGTGTGCAGCCATTCCTTACTGATCTTTGTCAATATAAAGGTCACATAAGGTTCTTCAGATTCTTACTGGAATCAATAATTTAATAATTTTTAGTAAATTTAATCTCAGAGGGCCATTTTGTAAAGGCAAAGAAAAAAAACTGATTGATCTTAAACCAAAACCAATTTACCTCATAACATCTCATATGTGTGTACAAATGTGCCCACCTACCTATGTGCTTACACAAACAAATACATTTGCAAACCACAAAGAAAAGGCACTTCAACATGACATTGAATGGATTTCTAATTAACCAATATTATATGCATATATAAATATAAATCCAGTGGATATAAAGGACATTAAGACAGTGAGAGGGCAGTGCAGTGATTGTATTATTGGCTACTTGGCTAGTCTGTTTGAAGCTTTGTCTGTTTATGGAAAATTATGTCATCTCTCTGTAACAGGCCATGTTTATCAGCTTACAGATTTAGAGAAAATAACAGATGGCAGAAACAGGCAGCAGACAGCAGCTCAGTGATGTTTGCTGAAATTCCAAATCCAGTGTTGAGCAATCTGCTTCCCTACCTTCAACTTAGTTTGGCACTGTTTGCATGCTTTTAACAGTCCTCAAGGTGTCAAATTCCCTGTAAATACATCACTGGTAACTAGTTTATTCTGCTACACCGGAAAGGAAATATTAGCTTTAATAATCATGCCTCTCTGTTCATAGCCTCCAGGATTTCAGGGCAATGATTGCTGATTATATTCCAAACATCTGTGTAGCAAACCTAGATGGATGATCCACTAAGTGGTTCCATAAAAACAGGATAAATAATATGTAATTTGCAGCCTGGCTTGAAAGATGATTTTGCTGGTTTGTACTTGTTAAGTCACCCCCGCCCCCAAGGACAAAAGGGAAAGACCTCTTGTTTTGTGTCTCAGGATGACTTATTCCCCAAGACAGAGCCCTCCTTTTGACTCAGGCCTAGGTCCTGCACTGAATAAGCTGAACTTATTGATCGAGAAGGCGCATAGTGGTAAAGACATTCCTGTAATCACGCCAAGACCATTTGGGGCTCTGTCAGCAAATAAATTGAATATTATGTTTTCCAAGGATTAAATTGGTATTGCCAATCCATAACATACTCACTAAGAGTATGTATTAGCTAAGACAACATGTTGTTTGCTTAAACTAGGGTAACTATCTTTATGTGAAAGCACCCATTGTGATTTCAATTTATGACCTAGCATCATGCTAAGCATCTTTTTTTAGCTCAACCAACTATAACTTACCTCCCCTACTGGCAATTTTTCATGATGCAGAAGTCCTCCAGCACCGATGTATCATTGACCCTTGCTCAGAATTTGTCCATACAAGGATTTTCATTCCATTGGCGTTTTACTTTGTAATACTATTGCATTATTGCAAAGGCAATGTTCATCCCATTTCTACAGCTTATAGGGTTGGCCTTGTTTTCATGGGTGGAATTTTTCACTGCTTTCCCATAAAAAGTAGTGGGAGCAGAATTTCATTTCATTTTCATTGCTAAGCAAGGAGTTGCATCTGATTTTGTGATCTTATTTGTCATAGTTAAGTGAATCACTGCAGTTGTTAAATGAATCATGCTTGTTAAGTGAATCTGGCTTCCCTATTGACTTTGCATGTCAGAAGCCAGCTGGGAAGGTCACAAATGGCAATCACATGACACTGGAATGCTGCAACCATTGTGAATACATGCTGGTGCCAAATGGCCAAATTTTGATCACATGACTGTGGGGATGCTATAGTTGTAAGTGCAAGGCCTGGTTGTAAGTCATTTTTTTAGTGCCATTGTAACTTCAAACAGTTGCTAAATGAATGGTTATAAGTCAAGGACTACCTGTAGCTCTCTGTGCTTACAGAGTACAGCAACTGCAACAAATCTTCTATCTCCCTTCTGTAAAAGTTTAGCATACCATTTCAATATCTTGGTATTTACAACTGTGCCAGGGGTGAAATCCAGCAGGTTCTGACAGGTTCTGGAGAACCGGCAGCAGAAATTTTGAGTAGTTCGGAGAACAGGCAAATATCACCTCTGGCTGGCCCCAGAGTGGGGTGGGAATGGAGATTTTGCAATATCCTTCTCCCAGGAGTGGGGAGGAAATGGAGATTTTGCAGTATCCTTCCCCTGCCACGCTCACCAAGCCACACCATGGCCACCAAGCCACACCCACAGAACCGGTAGTAAAAAAAAATTGGATTTCACCACTGAACTGCGCTCAGAAGGGTTTCTATAATATTGACTTAGCATTAGAGCCTCAATTAGAGCCTTAATTAAACCTCTATAAAGGTTTATTGCAATGTTGCCATAACAGCATGGCTGCAGGTTTACGGATATAACTCTATTCCATGAAGCTGCTATGTCCAGGTGCCTTCATCTCTATTTTTTTTATCTTCCCTCGCTATCATAAGGGCTCTATCAAAACTGTTCAGA